AATCAATTTGTCATTTTATCAGCATGGAAAAAAATTAAAATATTTAACTCAAAATCAGGCTAGAAATAATTATTCAAATATTTGGTCATTTGTTTGATCTTCAGTTGAATGAATTATCAATAAATTAACTTACTGTCTGTGAGAAAAACACCAAGCAGATATAAATACATTCTACATGTTAGAAATAAACTGAAATATATTCTTCACCTTAGAAATGAACTGAAATATAATGTACATGTTAGAAATAAATATATTCTACTTATCTTTTGAAATGTTTGTAAACAAACAAGCTTTTGATTTGATTTTGCAGCTTTAGAGTTTAAGCTTTTGTGGATTTCCATTTATTTTCACTGATCATGTGTGTGCGTGTGCGTGTGTGTGTGTGTGTGTGTGTGTGTGTGTGTGTGTGTGTGTGTGTGTGTGTGCGTGTGGAACATAAGATTTTATTCTTATTCTTGTTAGAAACCTCCTGCCGCCGCTCGGGGCCTCTCGGCTCCTCTCGGCTGCGTGTCGGGTCTCCGTACTGTCGGTGTGTGTTTCCGCTCCGGGATCATGTTGTCGGGTAATTAGCGAATAATTACAGGATCATTAGAGACATTTTGCGGCTCTGCGGCCAGAATATGAGAAAAAGCTTCAGATCAAAGTGAAATCTGTCGGGATGTGTTCAGGTTCACGGAGCGGCGGCGGAGGTTACAGCCCACAAAGAAGAATCAAATCCGGCTACAGCGGCGGCGCTTTGAGGCGCTTTGAGGCGCTTTGAGGCCGCAGGAGGTTCACCGTGTTCGGCTTGTTCTCCAGCGGGTTGGAGGAGGGAGAGGAGGGCCGACACAAAGCCGAGATAGGACCGAGGTCTGCCGGCCTACCCCGAGACCTGAGACCCAGAGAGATCCGGACCGGGGCGACAAGGAACCCAGTCCCAAAGGGCGATACACGGAGACACGGAGAGAGAGAAGAAGAAAAGAAAGAAGGGCAAAGAAGGACAAAAAGAAGAACAAGAACAAACAGAATAACAAGACAACAACACGAAGAGAATGAAAAGCACAAGTAAACACAAGTGTTACTAATAAACAATAAACGAATTAATTAACACCAGGATCAACAACACAACAAAAAAGACAATTAAAGACAATTAAAAAAAGAAAAAATCCAAAAATCAGCAGATGATACCTTTTATATCTAACCATACAAAATTCAATAAAACATTATATAATATAATACAATATGGTTATATAATATAGTTTAACCAGAAAGAAGAAAATCTCACATTTTATTTTTATGTTTCTTTCAAAATAAAAGGTTTTGACGAGAAATAAAAACGCATCTGTTAACGTCTTTATGGAAACCCTTTATCTCTACCCTTAGATGTGAAGTGAGGTGAGCAGAATTTTTACAAATGATTCAACATTTTTTATGAAACATCTGAAAATACTTTAAAAAATAATATTGAAATGATCAACGATCCCCAAAACTGGAGATACAAGGTTCTACATTAGAAAGAAATCAGAGAAAATAAAGTTAAATAACATAATTTTTGTCTTTGACTCAATAATTATCAATCAAAGTCTGATAATAATCATAGGCCAAATAATCAGATTACATTATTATTATTATTATTATTATTATTATTATTATTATTATTATTATTAGAGTAACTTAAAGCTGACACAAGAAGAATGTTTTAACGTTAGATTCTTGTCTCAGGACTCAAACGGGATTTCCCGAAGACCTGGCCCTGGAACTCCTGAAGATCTGCTGTTAATTTAAAACCGGTTTCTACATGTTGAAGAAGCAGACCTCATATTCAGTACCTGGTTTATTGATGCTTAATAAACAGTTAATAGATGAGTTTAATTTAATTTAATCTCTTCAGTTCATCTGGAAGAAAACAGTTTCTTAATATTATTAAAATAACATTTTAAGAAATATTTAATGACAATTTTTTTATAACTCACTAATCAATATTTACTGTTATTGGCTCATTAATAAACCTGCCAGGGACTGAAAATATTATATTCACAGAAAGTTAAAGTAGCAAATTAATCAATGCAATTAAAACATTTAAATGGATTCCTCATTTGTCTATAGATGATCTAAAAATAAATTATTCTTTAATTACCAATAATCACATTAATTACAGCAACTTTTTAAAAGGTGAATCTTTTGAAAGTGTTTTCGAAATCCATTAAATTATAAAATATGATTAAATATCATATTTTTAAAAAACAACAGCGACACTGATCAGAAATTAACAATAAATCAATAAATGTCCAGTGTTTCCTTGTTTTATTTGAAAATGACAGAATAAGTTAAGAACATGCATCAGAGTCAAAAACCAACGAGGAAGAAACACAACGAGGACAAGCGGGAGGGGTGTGTGTGTGTGTGTGTGGGGGGGGGGGGGGTCTTTTTGCGCATTAATCCTCCTCCGTCCTTCTTTCCTTCTCTCTTTCTTTCCTTCTTTCAGGAGGAGTCATGTTCGTGTCAGTGTTCGTTTTTTCTCCACAAAAGAGAAGAAGAAGAAGAAGACCTCCCACTTCATTCATGCACATGGTAATAATAATCAATAATCAATAATCAGCAATGGACAGAAGAGTTTAAATACACAGACGCATCAACAGTCAGAAAACAGGCAGGAAGTGGTTTCTCCTTTTACACACAGAGTGAGAGTCACCAAACAAAGATCCTTTTAAAACAGACCCAGGATCAGTGGAGAAATCGATTAGTCGATTCATCAAAGTCAGAAAACAGTGAGACACTGTGATGGTAACACACACTTCATATTAATCAATCAATATTGATCTATATTCAATATTCTCTGATCAACAATGATCTATATCCAATATTCAATAATCAATAATGTTGCGATGAGCCACTCTGTATGTTGTTTACTGCTGGGTCTTTGACGGAGCCCTGAGTAGTGTCTGCAGGTAATCAGGTATTTTTACTATTTTATTACATTTTACAAAATAAATGATCAGTCTGTTATTAATAACAATCAATATTCACAGCTTTAGATCCCAAACATCAGCTGGACTCTCCAGCAGGAGAAATTGACCTCAGAGAGAACATGGAGATCAGGTCGTTTTTAAATAATGGGAATTATAATCTGGAAAAAAAGACTATATATGAATATACACATACATACATGTATGTATAAATATATATGTATAGATGTGTATGTACACACACACACGCACACATATATATGTATATATATATATATATACACACGTGTGTATGTGTGTGTGTTTTAATACGTCCACAATCTCAACTTGATGAACATCAGTTCAGACGGAGGGAAACTCTACAGCTTTACATGAAACCTGAAACTTCCTGCCGCCACATGAACATGGGAACAGTTTTTTTCAAATCAGAAAAAATGAATTTTGTGCAGCTAAAATATTTTTTCTTCTTCTCCTTTTTTTCTCATCAATAAGCTAAAACTGATCAGTAACTTCATGTCTTTAATATCATCATTTAACTTTATCAGCTGATCATATTTTGTATTAATAAATGATTTGTTACTGATAAGCTGATTTCAAACATACAGATAAATATGTTGGTGGATCTGTTACAGCCTCCAATTCAAAACTGATCATCAGTCATTGATCATCAATATCTTCACTTGTTTTTCTTCAGTCACAAAAATATTCAAAAATTTATAAAAATGTGATAAAGGTTCACGTTATGATTTAATCAATAATCAAACTACCTGATCTGAATAAAATAGCGAAGTCACTTGATCAGAAATCTGCCCGGATATACATGGCAACATACACACAGGCGGGAAAATCTGTGTTTGAGTCATTTGTGTGAACTGACCCTTTAAATCAAAGCCATTTTATCTGGGTGGGAGTTCTCACTCTGAGGGTCGTGACCCCTCAGGAGGTCAGCGGCAGATGAGGTCGTGGGAGAAACACGTCCTCATGAGTTATAATCTTTAATATGTTTCTGTAAACACCTGCAGCTTCCTCGGCTTCACCATGGCAACCATGTTATCATGATCATCAGGTGACCTTTGACCTTTAGCTCATCAGGAAAGAACACCTGCACCTGCTGAATCCAACACCAGGCAGGACTGTGGTTCCCAAAATGGGGCCTGGGCCCCTCTGAGGGGTCCGAGGCGAAAATCAGACCGGGCCAGAGACCGGAGAGCAGAACCAGGTCTACAGGGTCCTGGACCAAACAGAGCAGGGACTAGTGTATTCATTGAGACCAGTCTGATCATCTACACCTGTCTCACCCGAAGCTCTGGGCCACAGCCAATCAGGTTACAGTTCTCACTGAATATGGGAGACTTGTTCCCTAAATTTGGTCTTTAAGGCGACAGGTGAGTGACTCTGGACTGGATCTGGACTCAGCCTAGACTGGATCTAGAATGAACCTGGACTGAACCTGGACTGAGTCTGTACTGAGTCTAGAATGAACCTGGACTGACTCTGGACTGAGTGATCAGTGAGTGCTCAAATAGGATGTCCTCGATCTAAGACCAGCTGCTGTACCTCCCTCCCTACCTCACATCAACACTCACACCATGTAGTCCTGTCTCATCTGAATGTCCCGCCCACTGTCTCACCTGTGACATCACAGTGTCAACGTTCAGAGAAACTGTCCTGGGGTCTAGAGCTCCAGGTCGGGAACCACTGATATAAAGGAAACACTAAATTATGAACATGAACAGAGCTCCTGGATCCTGGACTGACTGAGGATCCTGGTCTGATCTGAGGATCCTGGTCTGACTGAGGATCCCGGACTGACTGAGGACAAGTGGTTCAGGATCCTGAACCTTGAAAACATGACCTTGATCTGGTTGTGACTCGGTGTGTAAAAGGAGAAAACAGCTGAGAAGGAACCTGTCTTTTTGTCCTGTCACAGTGCAGGAGTTCAGAAACCAGCAGACCAGCAGCAGCAGAGTCGATCTGGTTCAGCATCGTCACAGTCAGACAGGAAGTCCAGAATGGCTGCATGCAGAGAGTCCCAAACAGGAGGTGCAGCGGGTACTACGAGGTGTTGAGGAGCGGTCTGGGATAGACCCCCTGGTAGTAGGAGGCCTCCAGAGGCTCCATGGTCCTCCCTCCAAGGCTGGAAGCTCCCCCGGTGCTGTAGGAGGAGTACTGCAGTGCCTCGTAGGCCTTCAGGTCCAGTTTGTGCTGCTGCTCTGAGGACGACATTAAGTTGTTGATGGAGAACGGGTGGTCGAAGGAGTAGTGGGGGTCTCCTTTGATGTGCAGCTGGGATTCATGCGCCATGGAGTGGGGGGGCAACGACAGGGAGGACAGGAGCTGGGAGCCAGACACCTTCAGGTCTGATGCCCCGACGACGCTGCCCCGCAGGTCCAGACCGGGAGGCGAGGCTGCCTGGCTGGAGGAGGGCATTGAAGAGTCCAGGAGTCCTGGAGGTTTGATGGAGTCCCCTGTAGGAGACACTCCTCCTCCCCCACCACCTCCCCCCGCGCCCCCTTGCTCCTTCCTCCCGTCTGATTTCGACGACATCTTCTTCTCACACTTGAACCTCTTCTGGCGGCGCAGGTAGCAGCCGTTCTCAAACATGTTCCCAGAATCCGGGTGCAGGGTCCAGTAGGAGCCCTTCCCCGGTTTGTCTGGTGAGCGCGACACCTTGACGAAGCAGTCGTTGAAGGACAGCGAGTGCCGGATGGAGTTCTGCCAGCGCTGCTGGTTCTGCCGGTAGTACGGGAACAGGTCCATGATCCATTGGTAGATCTCGCTCAGAGTCAGCATCTTACTGGGCGCCTGCTGGATTGCCATGGTGATGAGCGAGATGTAGGAGTAGGGGGGTTTGGCATGCGGGTAGCTCCGTCTGAACGCCTTGTTGTCGCGGGCTCGGTTCAGTCCGCCGCCGCTGTACGCCATGCCTGGGCTCATGGTGGGACTCATGCCCCCATATGGGTTCAGGCCCATCGATGCCTGCTGGGCTGACACCGAGCTCATACTGGACGGGCTCAGGGCCCCGCCCATTGAGGCCACACCCCCACCCAGACCCGACATGGCTGCTGGAGCCGAACCGCCCATCCCTCCTACGGGTGCGGGACTCAGACCGGTTCCACTGTACGACATGTTGAAGGAACCCGATGTGGTCCCACTGCTGGACATGTAGCCAGACATGGAGCCCATCGCAAGACCAGAACCCATCCCACCGCCTGTCATTGGAGAGTAGACCTGCAGAGAGACCAGAACCAGTTAGAAACAGCTAAACCAGAACCCATGAGATCTGAGTTAGAACCAATTAGATCAGAACCAATTACAACACCAACGAAGAGTAGATCTGCAGCACGACCAGAGACTGTTAGAACCAGTTAGAGATGGACCAAAAACCAGTAAGACCAGAACCCATCCTACTGCCCATGACTGCAGAGATACCAAAACCAGACCTAGTTAGATCCATTTACAGATAGTTAGACCAGGACCTGAACCTATCAGGATAGTACCAGTTTTGCCAGGTCAGGTTGTCTGGTCTTTGATCTGGTTCACTTTTTTGGCAGTTTGATGCTGATGGTTTTTAATTTTAACTTTGTCCTTCAGGTTAGTTTTGGACCTCTGACCTGTGAACGGTGATAACAGAGACTCCAGCAGATGTGGACTGATCAGAGCTGCTGCTCACTGGATGTAAAAACTCTGGAGATGGTTGAGAGTGAAAATCTCAGACCAGCGTCTGAAATCCAATAGTCACGAAGCTCCTCACCTGGATCTGCAGGTGTTCCTAATAAAGTGCTCACTGAATGTTAACAACAGTACGGTTCAACGCGCTGCAACTTCAGAAAACAGATTCATCAGTCTGACAACACATGAGCTGCAAACACTTAGACACACAAAGGAAGTGTTTCCAGGGGACAGTAAAAAGTGATGAACCAGCTGGGACACAGTTGGGTTGTGTCTTACATCAATCCGGTCATTTGCTCCTCACTCATTCACTCCACTCATTCACTCCTCACTCCTCCCTCTCCAGTCACGTCTGTGTAGAGGACTGTACAGTGAGCTCGCTGTTTTTCTGTCTTGGTCTATACTGTTTGGTTAGTGACCATTGGGTGTACATTACTGTTCACAATGCATTGTGGGATACGATGAGTTCACTCTACAGGTGTAATTATTCTCACTGTTCATAACTGCACTACAACATGGTGAACTCCCTGTACAGTGACTGCGGATGGAGCGTGATTTCAGATGCGTGTGGCTCAGGAAGCAGAGTGGGTTGTGCACTACTGAGAAGGTTGGTGGTTCGATCCCTGGCTGCTCCAGGCCAGATACTGAGCTGCACATTGCCCCTGATCTGTCAGTGTATGAATGTGTGAGTGAATGAATGAAAGTGTTGTAAAGCGCTTTGAGTGATCAGTGATAGAAAAGTTAATTTACCAACTGTGACTTTTTAAGTTAAAAGCTTTGAACAAGTTTCTGAGCAGGTTCATCACCTTTTCGTTTGAAAAAATTTTTTGCCTTATGATTATTATTATTATATTATTATTATAAATTACCTTATTAATTCAGAGAGAGAGAGAGACAGAGAGACAGAGAAACAGAGAGAGAGAGAGGATGATATGCAGCAAAGGGCCACAGGTTGGATTTGAACCGGGTTAGGATGATGCCCCCCCACCGCCAAAACTCACATGTTATCAACCTGATGAAGAGCTCTCAGGCCCCAATATTAATTGTATTAATTGTATTAATAATCATTTAATCTAAACAAAGGTGTTTGTTGTTACAGTAAGGAGACATTAATCCTTCAATTAACTGATTAAGTTGAATTTAGTTTTAATGCTTTAAATTTGAAACATTTGATAAACGATGAATTAAAATGAATTTTAATGAAGATTTAAACCGAAAAAACAACATAAACTGATTAAGTAAATAAAAGTTTCAGAAGTTTCTCTTTAATTGACCCTGAAAACACAAGAAGCAGCTTCATGAAAATATTCAGGCTCTAATTTATTAAAAGACTGTAATATGTTTTAATGTGATTTTTTAGTTTAAATCCCGTTGATAATCAATTAATTACCGCTGGATTAACGGATGAATTCACGTGTTTGAAGGTAAAAACAAAGAAGTTATTTTCATTTCATGGTCATCAGGTTTAACATCTAATCTGAAACCCGGATCCCAGAGCGGGACTGTGGCCCTGAACCTGTTTGTTTTTTTCTGTTGAGTCAAATTTAATCTTTAAAATAAAAGAAAGCTTCCGGTCTGAGCCGCGCACTGCTGTTTCTCTTCACACACTTTTATTAAACAATGAAACAATTCAATTATAACAGAACACAATTATAATATAGAACACAATATGATTATATACATATATAATAATATTTCATAATAATACCTGCGGATTCACATTAAATGGAAATATAAAATCACTGAAATGAAATTTGATGTTTAGTGTTTAACTGATAATCTGTAAAATGATTGTAACGTAAAAATGTTACTGCAGCCGCTGTGTGAAATAATCAGATTATATCAATATCGATTATATCTATTATTTTAATCACTTTTTGTTTCAAAAGGAAAAACAGCTGCTGTTTGTTTTATGTGTAATAAAAATCAGTTTATGACCAATGACCCATGATCAATAATCGGATCAGGTTTTTCCTTTGTTAAATATCAGACACGTTTTAGTTTTATGTGTGTTGTGATCCGCTGTCCGAGACGCTGAAATATTAAAGCTTCAACATTTTCTTTTTATTTGTCCGTCTGAAATCAATCAATTAATCAGTTAATTTAACATGTTTATCTCCTCACTCTTTTCTTTTCTATCCTTTTCTCTTCTCTTCTTTTCTCTTCTTTTCTTTTTGATTTGTTCTGATTATTTTTTGCTCAGTTGTAAATTTCCACAGATTCATTATTATCATATTATTGTATGTTACAATCACAGAGGCGTGGACTAAATAAAAGTGTAAAGATTTGATGAGTGTGTGTTGCGCCGGTCTGCGGCTTCACACACCAACATCACAGAGAAATATTCATCCCGTCACTTCATCAACGTTTTGTCTCTTTATTTTCATTTTATGGTAAAATTGTGATTTTTCGGCTGCGAGTTTAGTTTATTTCAGATTTCAGAAACAATCAAATCAACAGTTTGTTTTAAAGCTCGTTTTTACGACTTTTAACACTTTGATCTTTTGAGCCTTTTCCCGCCATGTGATGTGTATTATTTACCTGTCAGGACCTTTGTTCATCTCGTTATTATAAACTATAAAACCAAACATTTTATCGTCTGACTCAAAGTAAAGTGCGACACGCCGTTTTCCACTTCCGCTCATTTACTTGAACAGAAACTGATTCAAACTGTTTCAACTTTGGGAGAATTCATGGTTTAAATTTAAGATTCTCCAGGACCTCATCCGGAGCCTGACCTGGGTCTGAACGGTAAGAGCAGCGGGAAAGTGACCGACCTCCTCGCTGTAGTATCCGCTCCAGTCCGGAGCCTCGTGCCCTTCCATCTTCACCGTGCCCAGCATGACGGGAGCCCGCAGCCGGAACACGGATCCTGCAGGTCCCGGTGCCGGTCTCCTGGTCCTGTCCCCGGTGTGTGTGTGTGTGAATCCTGGTCCAGGTGAAGCTGCTCCGGGCCAGAAGGAGCGGAGAGGCAGAGTCAGTGAGGAGGAGGAGGAGGAGGAGGAGGTGATGGTGACCTGCGGACTGATGTGATCCTCCTCCTCTTGCAGGTCCAGCCCTCCGGATCTGATCTCCTCCTCCACCACACACACACACACACACACACACACACACACACACACACACACACACACACACACACACACACACACACACACACACAAACACACACCTCTTATTCCTTCACTCACTCATTAAACCCTTTTATTGTCAATAGGAACTCATTGATTGATCGTTTATTGGAAATAATTCAGTCAGGACCAGAATCAGGACTGTAGAGAGCTAGGTCCTGAGTCCACGTCAGGTGACAGGTGAACCAGGTTGAAGGACCTGAAAAGATCCAGATTCAGGGAAAATGGATTGATCAGTTATTGGAAAATATTGATGGATTATTGGTGTGAGAACATGACAGATCTTTATTATCCAGTTAATGAATGATTGATAATTAGAACATTATTACACTGAAACCCCTCTGTGTAGAATCAAGACAAACCCTATAGATTTAAAAGATGAAGGCCATAACATGTGCTGAAAGGTCTACAGAAAGACAGCAAGTGGCTCTTGAGCCAAGAATAATACTTGACTTCACTTCAGAAAGCTCTGGAAATTTTCGTGAGCTAGATGCTGTAAAGTGTCCATCATTTCTATTCATGAAACCATGAAAAAAAACCGTATCCATTCATTTTTAATACAAACAGATTTCAACATGTTTCAAGTGATGAATGAATGAATCATCCCACTGTGTGTGTGTGTGTGTGTGTGTGTGTGTGTGTGTGTGTGTGTGTGTGTGTGTGTGTGTGTGTGTGTGTGTGTGTGTCTCAGATCAGATCCGGGTCAGGTTTAGTTCAGGTTTAGTTCAGGTTTAGCTCTGGTTGACTGGTTCCAGTCTGACACTGTGAAGCTGTTAATGAGCGGAACGACTGATTCACCATCATCACACTGGATTAACTGGATGATCCTGGATTAAAGGACGTTTACACAAAAACAAAAAAGAGGAGAGGAGGATGAGGAGGAGGAGGAGGAGGAGGACAGTTCTCAGTGTCCAGTTTATTTCACCGACCAGAGAGAGAGTCCAGAGAACTGGTTTTACTTTATAGAGCATCAGTATGAGATTCTGGACTCTGGTGGTCTGATGCTGTTCGAGGCAGCAGTACACTGATGTCAACTGATTACACACACACTGACTCAGGTTCAGGTCCAGTCCAGGATCGGGTCCAGGATCAGGCCCAGGGTCAGGCCCAGCTATTTAATCAGATCTAAAATTTAATAAACTTTATTTCTCAGTGTAAACAAACAGAAACTGTTCTGCTGTTCTGGATTCACTCGCTCTGTCCTGGATTCCAGGGACAAGAATTTTTTCCCCAGATAAAACCTGTACTAAAAGCCTCACTGCAAAGTCTTGGATCAGTTGGACCCAGGATTAGAGTCCCACTTGGGAGTTCTGGTCCAGTTGGGCCTGGTTCAGTCCCTGGGGGACACAGAGTCTGAATGAACCTGGTCTGTGGTGAACTGGCGACATGAGGTTCAGGTTTTCACCTGACAGAGGTCTTTGTAGTGTTTACATGATTCAGGACTAGATCCTGAGGAGGAGGAAGTTTCTGTGTGACAGTAAATCCTGCAGCTGTCATGCTAAAAGCTTGTCAGTGATAATTATCCTGAGACTGACTCACCTGTCACCTGTCCATGACCTCCTCATACAGACTGACAGACTCCAGCACACAGGAAGTGACATCATGAGGGTGTGACACTGAGGCAGGTAGAGACTGAACCTGAACCCAGACCTGTTCCTTCATTTAGGCTTTCAGATGGTCAGATCCAGGACTTGTTGAGGTCTGTTGTGTATCATATTAGTGTGTTAGGTTGAAGTGGGAGGAGCTTTTTGTTAGGACCTTTTACTCACTAAATAAAACACACTTGGTATTTCCCACCCATGCATGAGCATGGGAGCGCCTCATTTATTCATTCGCTCCTGAACGAGTCTGCAAACAGACTCAGTTTGAGACCAGTCTGGATACAGGTCCAGGGTCTTCAGGGTCCACGTCTGCTCCTCAGCAGCTCATCAATGTAACTGTCAGACGATCTCTAGTGGTCAGAGAGAGAATCACAGGAGCAGAGTGTGTGTGTGTGTGTGTGTGTGTGTGTGTGTGTGTGTGTGTGTGTGTGTGTGTGTGTGTGTGTGTGTGTGTGTGTGTGTGTGTGTGTGTGTGTCCCACACCCTGTTATTAAAGTCATGTTGATGGCTTTGTTTCTCCCCTGAACTCTTCAACTCTGTTTTATCAGTTCAACTATCTACACACACACATAGACACAGACATGGACACACACACACACACACACACGGTGAGATATTTCCCAGCTTCCTCGACTCACCTGAACATCAGGTTCAGATCAGCTGACCTCTGACCTCCAGTCTCACCTGGCTGTTACACTGCAGGCTGACCTCAGATAGGTGAAGAAAACCAGCTCAGGATCTTTCCTGACCTCAGTCTGATGCATAACCTGTGTTGACCAGATGAAACTCCGCCCACCTCAGAGTCAGCGTGGAGGCAGCTTTTGTCAAACGTTAGTGGCTGTGGTTTCATCTAATGATGAAGAGAAACGATGGACGTGACCAGGATCAATGTAAATCACAGGTCTGAACTCACTATAAAAGATTGTTGTTCTGTGGTTCTGTTCTGTTGTTCTGTGGTTCTGTGGTTCTATTCTGTGGTTCTGTTGTTCTGTGGTTGTGTTCTGTTGTTCTGTGGTTCTGTTGTTCTGTGGTTCTGTTCTGTTAGTCTTTGGTTCTGTTCTGTGGTTCTGTTGTTCTGTTCTGTGGTTCTGTTGTTCTGTTATTCTGGGGTTCTGTTCTGTTGTTCTGTGGTTCTGTTGTTCTGTTATTCTGTGGTTCTGTTCTGTGGTTCTGTGGTTCTGTTGTTCTGTGGTTCTGTTGTTCTGTTATTCTGTGTTTCTGTTGTTCTGTGGTTCTGTTCTGTTGTTCTATGGTTCTGTTGTTCTGCAGCGACATCAGTTCTGACAGTTTCACTGACGACTCCCTCAAACTGCTGGAACTTGTCTGATTCTGGTTCACTGATGTGTGTCAGCCGTGTTGTCAGGTGGATGCTGCCACCTGCTGGTTGCTGATGAAGATCAAGGGGACTCACTTCAGCTCACAGTGTTATTGAGGTAAGGACAGAAGACTCTGACTCCACATTCACAATCATCTTTAAACCATTGTCCCTCTGACAGCAGCACAGATGGAGCTGAGGTGAAATCTCCTGGCAGTTTATCAGAGGACTACATTACCCACAATCCCCCTGTGAGCTGAGAGGTGTCAGACTACGGAGACAGTAAGAAGTGACTGTGGTCTGCTGCCACCAGATGGAGTCAGAGCTTACAGAAAGACAACACAGGTCAGGACAACTAGTGTCAATACTAACTACAGTCACTAACTACAGTGTCACTACTAGCTACAGTCAAATTACACAGTCAGTAACTACAGTGTCACAATTAACTACAGTGTTATAAACTACAGTGTCACTACTAACTACAGTGTCACTACTAGCTACAGTCAAATTACAGTCACTAACTACAGTCACTAACTACAGTGTCACTACTAACTACAGTCAAATTACACAGTCAGTAACTACAGTGTCACAATTAACTACAGTGTTATAAACTACAGTGTCACTACTAACTACAGTGTCACTATTAACTAGTGTCACTACTAACTACAGTCACAAACTACACTGTCATTAACTACAGTGTCACTAGTCAACTACAGTGACCTCAGGTACAACAACCTGACTCGTTAATCTGCTTCATGGCAAAAGGAACTAATTATTAGAAAAAACATGTTAGAATTATTATTATTTACATTAAAATTCAGGTACAGGAAGTACTTTTACTGTGATGCTTCAGTATTTTAGAGTGTAATAGAGTATCTCTAGATTATTGTAGTTTTACCTGCAGGTGTGAGCTGGTCCTGGACTGAGGTCACCTGATGACAGATAGATAGAGTGAGGACTGCAGCAGCTCTTCACTGTGAACCTGTTGTTGCTGAAGCTGATCTGATGTGACTCAGTAAACACAGGCTCCATCAGACAGCGTCACTGACGTAATAATACAGTCATCTCTCTCACCTGTATGTTTTGATTAAACAGCTGTTGATCATCAAGGAGGTGACCTTCACTCAGCTGACTGAGTTCATCAAGCAGCTGCTCAGTGATGAGATGGAACATTAATCCTCAGCTTTCATCAGAGAAAAGCTTTTATCATCATCATTACTGATCAGTCGCTGCAGATCATCATCATCATCATCATCATCATCATCATCATCATCATCATCATCATCATCATCATCATCCTGCAGCCTTACACAGACTGTACAGTCCTGATGGCGAGGAGGAGGAACCCTTTCTCACTTGGTCATCAGTTGTCAGTTTATTAGGTACACCTGGCTAGCTAACTAACTAACTGACTGACTGACTGACTGACTGACTGACTGACTGACTGATCAACTAGAAAACTTTGTTGCTGAAACCTGAGGAGAATGTATTGTGACAGGAAACCAGCAGACAGGAAATGGCCTTCAGAGTAAAACTACTGTGGTTTGTGTGATTGAAGTAGATATAAAAATCATCAGTGTCTCTGGATTCGGAAATGTTCAGACCGCGGTTTCTAAGTTACTTTCCAGCTGTGACAGTTAAACAGAACGAACCTGAGACCAGAGACTGAACTTGCTTTATCATCTCGTTTGGACCCCTGGGGGGATGGGGGGTATCTTCAGTCATCATTTAAGTCTTTTAAAACATCACAGTCTCCGCTGGAGGGGACACACAATGACCATTTCCTGTCCTGCAGAAACCACTGAAAGTACCCGGTCCCTGAGTCCGTTCACAGACCAGGACCCAAAGTCTGCTGATTTCTCTAAAAGCATCTCATCTTAACAGAACATGCGGCTCATAAACATTTCACTCAGTTTTATTGTAGTTTTTTGTCATAATATTTCAGGTGTCAGTGACAGTTTATCTTTAACCATCGACTGAAGAGAGAAAACCACCACAGGTCCAGGTCTCAGTCCTGGTTTCACCTGTGTGTTACAGCGACCTGCACCTATTTCCGACCCTGGGGCCTAAAATGAGCTGTTGGCCCCTGAATCTGTAAACCCACAGTAGCAGGCACCAGGTTTAGACCCTTTAGACCTTCATACTCGTCTCCATCATCATCATAAGGAGGCATCTGATTGGTCCAGAGTCATAAAGTATCTTCAGAGACCAGGAGAACCTGGATTGTCTGGCTACCAAAGAGACCTGATCTCAGCACCATGGAGGCAGTCTGGATCACATAAAGAGAGAGAAGACCTGAGGCAGATTCTCCAAGATGAAGGAATAACCTGAAGAACCTGAAGAACTGTGAGAGGGTGAACTGAGGAGAACTAGAGCTGGTTTAAAGGCAAAGGGAGGGTCACAGCAAATACTGGTCTGATTCACTGAGGAGTAAAAACTATACTTGGTTTTATTTTGAAAGAATCCTGACTTTACTTTCAGAAAGTACAACCACAGAACAATTCTGTAGATTATCGTAGGAACAGGCACCAAATAAACACTGACCAGACTGTATTGGTTCTCTACACGGTCGGGTTCTGATGGTTCCCTTTAGATCCTGGTGTGAGTTTGTTCCAGGTGTTGTTTCACTGAGTCACAACAATCAATATCAATAAACAATCAATATCTCAGGTCACATTCAGGTTATCAACATTAATTAGCTTCATTCATTTAGCAGCTGATCCCAGATCTGAACGGAACCTTCATTATAACTTTAGTCAGTGACGAGCGGATAGAAACTTCTTCGGATCTCCATGCCTAGTCCATGAGGTTCTAAATGTTTGGCCATGGACCTTTGTGGATCCCTGTGGACCCATGTGGATCCTTTTAGTTGCAAAAAGTAAAGCTTGAGCTTCAACAGGACTACAGCATAAAAAACACAGATCCTTTAAATCCTGGAGGTGTCAGCACAGTCCAGACCACATCCTGAAGTTGTAGGTTGCTCTGTTGGGACAGGCCCTGTTCTCTGAGAAACTGCTCCTGGCCCTCCTGCTGATACAGGCTGAATCTGCGACTGAGCTGTAGTAGTCCATGTCATCCAGGGGTCTAAGTGTCCACACAGTACTTGGATTTAGACAAAAAAACACATTATGGTCCTTTAAATTTTGGAGGTGTTTGCAGGACTCGGACTACACCCTGGAGCTGGTGTTTGCAGGGGACAGGTCCTGGTCCTGTTCTCTGAGTCCTGCTCCCGGTTCTCCTGCTGGTCCTGGTCTAGGCTGAGTCTGCGGCTCTTCAGGGCCGTGCTGTAGTAGTCCAGGTAGTCCAGGGGCTCCTCAGGGGCCTCCATCCAGCGCAGACACAGGATCCTCTGGAAGGAGCGCCGGAAGTTGTCGGACAGGAAACCATACAGCAGCGGGTTGGCGCAGCTGTTGGCATAACCGAGGACGACGGCCAACTGGCTGAGGGTGGGGTCATGACGCTGCAGGAAGACTCCCACCAGCTGCACCACGTGGAAGGGCATCCAGCACACCACGAACACCGACACCACCACCGTCACCATCACCGTGATCTTCCTCTCTGACTTCCGGCGCTGCTGCCAGCCCGCCCGCAGCGCCACCACGCGCAGCTGACTCAGGATCAGCACGTAGCACAGGCAGATGGCGAGCACCGGAAACAGGAAGCCCATCAGGAAGGCGTAGACTGCGAACGCCGCCATCCAGCGCCGCTCCGGCTCCGGCATCTGCATGTTGCAGGCCACCGAGCCGTCCGAGTTGGGGGCGGTGGAGGAGAAGAGGATGATGGGAAGGATGACCAGCAGCGAGAACATCCACACGCACACGTTCACCAGCTTGGCCACGGTGGGCCGCCGGTACCGGGACGCCCGCAGCGGGTGCACCACGGCGATGTAGCGGTCCACGCTGAGCACCGTCAGGCAGTAGATGCTCGTGAACATGTTGATGGCGTCTACGCTGAGCACGAGGCGGCACAGCGCTGCACCGAACGGCCAGCGGCGCAGCAGCGCGGCGGTCACCACGAACGGCACGCTGAGCATCAGCAGCTCGTCTGCCACCGCCAGGTTCAGCAGGTACAGGTTGGTGGCCGTCTTCATCTTGGCGTACCGGAAGATGACGTAGATCACCATGGAGTTCCCACTCAGACCCACCAGACACACCACCGAGTAGATGGACGAGATGAGAGCCGCGCTGCCCGCCGACGGAGCTCCGCCGCCCGCCGCCGAGCCGTTACCGTACCCGGTACCGGAGCCGTTAAGCAGGAAGTCCTCCAGAGAGCTGAGAGAGACCGGGAGAGGAGAAGAGGAAGAGATGTTGAGCTGCATCACAGACTGATGATGGAGAGAAAAATCAAAATAAAGACTGATCCTCAGGAGGCGAGAAAACGAGCCGCGGTTTCTCCTATAATGATCGGTTCAACCGGATAGACGCTCCGAGAGGGGGGCGGGTTGAGAGAGAGGGGTAGAGAGCGATGGAGAGTGAGAGAAGAGAGTTAGTTATTGATTATTGCTGCAGGTGGAGTTTAATACAGACTGAAGCTTTAAAATGAAGACTCAACACTAGAGTGTCCAGCTGTGACAGTTGACCAGAACGAACCTGAGACTAGAGACTGAACTATCATCTGGTTTGGACCCCTGGGAGGAGGGGGGTATCTTCAGTCATCATTTAAATCTTTTAAATCATCACAATCTCCCATGAGTCAGCTGGGGGGTGGGGGTGTCATTTCCTGTCTGAGAATCTCTGTTCTTCAGGAAACAGGAAAACCAGTTTGTAAACACGCAATGACCATTTCCTGTCCTGCAGAAACCACTGAAAGTACCCGGTCCCTGAGTCCGCTCACAGACCAGGACCCAAAATCTGCTGATTTCTCTAAAAGCATCTCATCTGAACAGAACGGCTCATAAACATTTTACTCAGTTTTATTTATTTATATTTTTTTAGAACAAAAACACCTCATAGTCTAAAGTCTGTTCATATATTAACATGTATTTGACTCCAGAGTGTGTCCACACACTTTTGGTCATATAGATGTTGAATTTTCTTGCAGCTCAGCCAACACTAAGACACAGGATCTCAGTTTCTGTTTTCAAAATAAAATCTACGAAACGTAATTTGTCCAAAACAACAAATATCTTTATTGATGAAAAAAGTAATGTTCAATATTCAACATTTCAACAAACAGAAGGTCAGCTTTTTATTTTCATGTCAGTGAAGGTCAAGTTAAAAATCATCCTCAGACTCACAGATGAAATCAGTAAATGTTAGTCTTTAATCCAGTAAATAATCAAACAATTTAATTTAAAAGACCTTTAACTCTCAGACTCAGGAGAGTGAAACAAGACGAACCGAGTCCTTAGCAGTCCACATCAGACCAGGTCTAGATCCAGATGTTTCTCTGCCACAGAAACAAACTTATTCATTTATATAAAAACATTTTAATCTGAAAGTAAGTTTTTTATATCTTCTAGTGAAGTTTGAGTCATTTCATCACCACCCGATTATAATGACATGACTTCCACCAATCACAGTTCTGCCTTCTCATGTTGCTGTCTTCTCATTGGATGTTGCGAAGAAATCCAGTCCTTTTTTTAATTTAATTAATTTTTTTATTAAGTGATGCAGGTACAAAACATTGAGACATGACAGAAACACTAAGAAAAGACATCAAGTGTAAACAACTGAAACAAAACAAGACATGACGAACAAACAAAAGTTGCTGATGTGCTCATGTTCTGTTTAGTTTGTGTGTATTTCATGCATATTATTAATAATAATACAATATATTGTGGTATACTAATGGAGAAAATACCTGTAATGACAATGACAGTAATGATAATGATTATAATAATAATGACAATTATATAATGATAGTAATAATAAGAATTTATATATTAATAAACAATACTATTATTATCATTACACTGTCATCTTCAACACCGTCAACATGACATTATGATCAATAATATAGATCATTACCACCACTAACAGTTTTAAGAACTCATAATGTAGATTGTCGCCACCATCAATATTACAGACCATATAACGTTAAACATAAATGAATATTTCCATACAGGGAAAAGAGTCTTACGTCTCCCCTGGATTTCCCGTGGGAATTGATCATTCATCCCGAAGTTTGGAATGATTGGAGGATTCTGGGCTGCCAGAGAAGATGAGGTTGTCTCGCATCTATCACGACTGCAGGTCCAGTATGGTCTCTTTCAATAGTTTATTGTTTATTGGTCGTTAAGTTAGCAGTGAGTGATTGTACGGAGGTTTTCTACTGTTTGTTCTCTTCGGTTAGTGTGAGGATGTGGTCGTGGCTGAACTCGTTGAACCCTTGTTTAACTCCTGAAACTCCTTGTGTATTATTTCAATGAGGGTAATTCTGTTGTCAAGAGCAGACAGTTTGTGTTCAATGGATATGAGAGTGTCACTAACCTCAGGGTAACAGCTGGAAGTGTCGGTCTGGGTGGGTGAATCAGTGAGTGAGCGTTAGCGTTTGGCAGATGGAGTGCAGCTTGTGGTGGATCCAATTTGTGGTTTTGTGGTGTAGAGTTCGTAGAATTTGTAGCTGTACTGTTCCAGATCATCCAGTTTGTCAGCTTTTATAGGTGATGATTTGTTCAGAAAGATTAAATCCTTGGCTTACTTCAGTTGCAGGTAATTGTTTGTTTTCAGCAGCAGGACACCGGCATGTAGATTCTCACGTCAGGTCTCGCGATATTGGGAGTCACATTACATCATCACCCCCCTTGCCATCTTTATTCTTCATTGCCATCCTCTCCAAGTCCTTCATTGCACGTTTCTTTGACCTTCTCATCAGGCAGTACTTCACTGCCACTAGGATAACTACCACTAGCACCACCAGCACCACCACAGCGATCGCCACGGCAATCAGGATGCCCATCAGCGTGCTGTTGTCAGCAGTTGCCACGGTATCCGTACATGCCGGCGAGCCCTCGTCGTGGTGTTTCCCGTTCTCGTCGGAGCAGATGCACCTGTAAGAGCCCTCGGTGTTCAGACAGGTGTGCCTGCAGTGGGCGCCACTGCTGCACTCATCAATGTCCACGCAGTTTGCAGAAGCGTCTTTGTGGAAGCCATCACTGCATGGTAGGCAGATGGTTGTGAAGTTAGCAGGGGAGTTGTCCATGAAACGCCACACAGCAGGACGACCCCAGCAGTGGAGCTCCAGCGGGATGTAGGACCAGCACTCCACCTGGATCCTGCTGCTGTTGTCAGGGTCCAGACTAAGGGCGCGGGCGTCAGGTATAAGGGGGAGCAGACACGGGTCTGACCCCAGTGGTGGTCCAGTTTCTGGTGCATCAGGTCTAGGTGGTTCAACTGCAGCAGGTTTCGGAGGTTTTGGTGCAGGAGGTTTAGATGGTTCTGGTGTAGCAGGTGTAGGTGGTTCTCTTGTAGCAGGATTAGGTGGTTCCAGTGTAGCAGGTTTAGGTGGTTCTGTTGTAGCAGGCATAGGGGGTTCTGGTGCAGCATGTTTAGGTGGTTCTGGTGTATCAGGATTAGGTGGTTCTGGTGCAGCATGTTTTGGTGGTTCTCGTGTAGAAGGATTAGGTAGTTCTCGTGTAGAAGGATTAGGTGGTTCTGGTGTAGCAGGTTTAGGTGGTTCTCGTGTAGCAGGATTAGGTGGCTCTGGTACAGCATGTTTAGGTGGTTCTGGTGCAGCAAGTGTAGTAGTGGTCCTTCTGTCCTCAGCTGTCCGTCTTGTCAGTTTGCAGATGAACTGGTAAGAGTTCTTACAGGTGACTGGGATCAGACCCCACCATGTCACTGCTGACTGATTAAATGACACCTGCAGAGCTGCGCAGCGAACCGTTGTGCAGGTGCTCTGCGGCTCCTTCATCCAGCGGCTCACCTGCGACTCCTCGCTGCCGTCCTTCGCCCACTTGAATCCCCTGAGTGGCAGTGCAGGGACGACACACTCGTTCTTGGCTTTCCTCAGCCCGACCCAAAAGATGAATTCACTCTGAGGCAGCACTGACCTGGAGATGAGCCTGAGGATTTCGGTGGCCTCCTGCTCAGTGGCGAGGGTGGTGAGGACATTGGGAGAACAATTCTCCTTGGCCTGGTCAAAGTTGACCTTGGTTTGATGGATGGTGTAATTTGGCGGTGAAGCCAAATCAGCAGAGACTCTTCCAGACAGGACAATGATCCAAAGGTAAATCCAACAGGAGCTGAACCAAGATGCCATCTTTCCTGAGTCGTCCCTCTGATGATAACGTCACTCTGTCAAAATGAATGTGACAGGTAGAGGAGAACAGCACTGTGATGACTATTTTCTATCATAATGTGCAGACAATACTCAACTCTAAATTTCTATTTCTCTGACAAGTTGAGAAACAGTTTCACTGTATTGATCAGATTATTGATTTGATATGTTTCTCAATAGGGACAAAGTCAGTGTAGTCAAATTCATGAATCTAATGATCATATTGATGCATTTCATTTAACAACCAGGTGCTAATCATCATCTGATTCAACAACAACAGTAATAAGAGACCTGACATCTCCAGACCAAACCACTGCAGTTATCATCAGTCACTGAACCATCATGGTGATGGTTGTCAACATGAATGAACTGAAAATAAAATAGAGCCATGTTCACATTGTAGTTTAAGTTTAAGGTAATGAGTAACTTAGTATGTGAGTGTGCAACTATTTGAAGAAGTTTTATAATTGATCACCAGGAGAAATTAGAACAGGTCAATACACTGAGTCAGAGCTTTGGTTTTTACAGTATATGTATGCTCAGTTTGTTTCAGTGTGATGATAATTAATTATTTCATTCACACTCTACTGATGAACCTCCTCCATCTTTAAAAAACCTGCAGTGATTGGCTGAGCTCGGTCTGACTCTAACGAAGTGAAGAGTAACAGGATGAGTCTATGAGACTGAACATATAGAGCTCTGATCACATGTTGTGATGGACATGCTGTAGAGAGTGAGGGAGCAAGGAAGCATCATAAAGAGAAGGAAACGAGTAAGCTTCCTAGTCTGATGGGTTTGTATCACTTTATTTCTGATCTTAATTTAATGAGTCTATGTTCTTACCTTCCTCTTTATCTTCAACACAAGGAAACAGATTAATTCACTTCTCCTCCTCCGGCTCCTTCTTTGAGGGTTAGGGTTGAAGAGTTTTCCAACTCCGGTCTTCTTCCAGCTTCTCCTTACTTTCTTCTGCGCTCTCCAGTTTCTGCTGGTTTTCCTCCAGAGTAGCTCCGCTGACAGACTGACTGTCGGCAGCCTCACCCCTCATTCAACCCCCCCACCCCCACCCCCCCCCACGTCAGGACAGGAAGTGTGTTTCTCTTGATACGGCGAACTGGTTTCCTCCAGAGAAACAGGGCCGCTGTCGTTTACACTGAGAGGAAACTTCAGATTCTCATCTTTGAACCAAACCTGGTTCTGAAATTCTTAATTTTCACATGAAGATCAGATAAACTTTATTGATCCTGCACAGGGAAACAGATTCTGATTTATTAATACAACAACTCACTGTATTTAAGAAATAATGCAAAATACAGACATTACAAGAGTTACACATTTGAAATTTGTGAATAGAGTTTGGAAATAAAATAAGAAATATAAAGAAACACATCTGATTTACAATTTTCAGGGTTAAATTCATTCACTTCCTCTGGTTAATAGGGTTCTTGAGAAGGTTCCAGTGGTCCTTGAAGAGGGTCCTGGGGAGATCACTGAGCAGGTTTGTCTGGTCACAGAAGAAGCCTCAGGGTTCCTTGAAGAAGTTCAAGTGGTCATGGAGCAGTTTCCCGTTTTTTTTTTCTGAATAGCCACCAGATGTCCTTGAAGACATAGGAGTGGCTGGTGAGTGGGTTCTAGGGGTTCTAGGGGTTTTCCTTAAAAAAGGTTACAGTGGTCATTTAGTAGCCTGCATGGGATTTGAAGAGCTTGACTTGTCCTTAGGTCCATGAAGAGGTTCTTGGCAGCTCTTGATGGTGGTTCACAAGGAGGTGTTCTCGAAGAGGTTACAGTGGTCCTTGATGTGGTTCAATGAGTTCATATTGATATCCATAAATCTTTGAAGGTGTTCCAGCAGTCCTTGAGAAGACACCAGAGGTTCTTAACAAATCTAATGATTTCAGTCTAATCAAACTGATTTTTAATTCTTTGATTTCAGATTTTTCACCTTCTTCAAACTGTCACACAGAAGTGTATGTGATGATGAACCACACACACATACACACACACACTCACAAACACACACACACACACACACACACACACACACACACACACAGTTTTTGTATCTGAACAAACAGTGGACATGGAGGACGTCTGTTGTCACGGCGACCCAGATGCTTCCTGGAGGAAATGTTTGAAGAATGAGAGGAAGTCAAAGATCATGGAGGGTGGAGCTACGAATCATAGACTGCTGCTGTCATGGTAACATTGCGATGTGTAACGTGTGTGTGTGTGTGTGTGTGTGTGTGTGTGTGTGTGTGTGTGTGTGTGTGTGTGTGTCAAATCTGAACCAGTCTGACTTTATCTGGAGGAAGACCAGTAAAAAAATAAATCAGTAAAAACCCAGTGACCGTTTGATTCAGACTTGTACTTTCGGTAACTACTGGTAATATTGCTAACACTCAATAATCAGTACTACTAGTACTAATAGTAATCATCCGTGAGCTGGTGTATACACACACACACACACACACACACACAGTCAGGTTACTCATCGCAATTTTACCATGACAGTACTATGATGGACTCTTACTTTGAAGCAGAGCTTTTAGTCATTGACTGAATGTTCTTTTATTTTGAAAATGTGATAGGCCATAACCTGTGTTGATAACAGGAGAAAAACCAATCACAGCCAACTCCTTCACTGTCAACCCATCAGTGTCCTTATGATGTTGATGTTAGATAAAGATGAGGCAGAAGATTCTCCACCAGAGACCATGGTCTGATCTGAAGTCTGTGTTTGAAGCTTTAGAAATAAAGAAAGATTAATTTAGTTTGAAATGTTTGCTGAGTTTACTACGACCAGACTTCATCACTGACTAAAGTAAGAAATATGAAAACAACAAAAGCTTCTTTAGTTGTGTTTTTATGTCCATGTCTACAGTCTATTTATTCCACCAGTTCTACTGTCAGTCAGTCAGTTAGTCAGTCAGTCAGTCAGTCCAGTGATGGAGCTGTGGACTCTGTCCTCTTCTGATGATCAGACCAGGTCCACAGTATCAGTCTGCTTCAAAAACCTCATCATAACATTTTATCCTGTTCGTCGTTTGAACTGACAAGAGAGCTGCTGCATCGCTGCGGTGCGTGTCTCCCCGGTTTTTACTCCTCTGTTTGTTCAGCTGGTGGAGGGTCATCACCATGGTAACAAAGTCATGGAGGAGAGTCGTCACCACAGCAACAGAGTCTGGGAGGAGGGTTGTCACCAACGGCAACAGATTCAGGGAGGATCATGACAACAAAAACAGTCAGGGTGAGTCAGGAAGGAGGGTTGTCTCCACGGCAACAGGTTCAGAGAATGATTATAGTCAGTAGAGGTGATGGTTGCAGTCCTGGACCTGGACATCCTCTACTCATATGTTCACATCATGTTTTATCTGATTTAATTAATCCATCAGAACAGAGCATTAAAGAAAAACACACACACACATCAGAGAGTCTGTAGATGAACTTATGGAGTATCATCACTGCTGAACAAACATCACAGTGGTTAGAAAAACCTCCAGTCTTTATATAAACCTGATCACAGCCTCAAACAGCTGATGCTGCAAAACACACTGACACACAAAGTCAACATGTTTCATCACTTTCTTGTTTTCATAACTTCAGTTGTTGATTTACTTTGTGGGTGTGTACGTATATATGTATATATTCATGTATATGTTTATTTATGCATGTATGTGTTTATTTATGCATGTATGTGTTTATTTAGGGAGGTATGTTGTTTGACTATAATGCTCCATCATTGACAATGTGGATAAAGGAACTTTCAGACTGTGTCGGTCTGGACAGATGGACTTACAATGCTAAAGTCAGACTAAGATACTTTCTTCAACTCTGGAAACCAGACATGAATATTTTAAAAGATGGAAATGGAAGCCTTACCTAAAAGGAAATTGTAAACAGGATTTTTTTTTTCTTTTTATTCTCGGGATTAGTGCAGGTGTGAGTGTGTGTGGTTGTGTGAGTATTTGTAATGTAAACATTTTGATCCCAAATTGTTATATTGTTACTGCATGTTGCAATCTGTATGTGACATGGAGAATTACAATAAAGATATTGGGAAAAAAAAAATGTCGTTTTTATACCTTACTATACTATAACTTTTTTTCCTTAATATACTGTGAATTTTTGATTTTTAACTTTAACTGTGACATTTTTATGCCTCACTATACTGTAAAGTTTTTATATTCTACTATAAAGACGTTTTTATGACATTTTATGCCTTACTATACTATTTTGTAAGGTTGTATTTGTTTTTGCATGTTGGTAACTTTGGTTTAAGGATGTTAAAGATGTGAACCTTAGGTAAGCTGCTGACCTTTGGGGCGAGCAGGACGTCAAGGGATCCATTACATATCTGGATTTTATGGTTATATTGTTGTTAATGGGTTTATCTACATCCCACAGAGATTTAGTGATGCACCCCCTTTTAGGAAGAGGTAAGCAATAAAAGTGAAACACAGAGGTAAATGTCTCGTGGTTAACAGATGTTAGTTACAAAACCCAGAACAACATACGATATAAGCAACTGAAGTTGTTGCATTCAGTGAGAGTCTTGGGGTATCCTACGTTAGATCTGTCCTTCGTGAACGAATGAACCAGTCAAATTGAAGTTTTGAGTTGTTGGTCTGATTTGTACACTTTTTCATCTCTTGGGCACGAGAAATCATCTTTTCACCTTTTAATGACTTTTTTTGCCTTTGAATATCATGACTTTTTATGCCTTATTGTGGTATGATTTTTCTATGACTTTTTATGACTTACTACACTGATGTTTTTATGACTTTTTATGCCTTACTATAGTATGAATCTTTAAATATCTTTCATGCCTTATTGTACAATGACTTTTTTTTATGACTTTTTATGCCTTACTATACTATGACTTTATATAGCTTACTATGCTGTGACTTTTGTATGACTTTTTATCCCTTACTATAGAATGACTTTTCAAATATCTTTCATGTCTTATTGTGCAATGACTTTTTTTATGACTTTTTATGCTTTACTATACTATGACTTTTTAAATATCTCTCATGCCTTATTGTACGATTACTTTTTTGTGACTTTTTATGCCTTACTATACTATAACTTTTCATGGCTTACTATGCTGTGACTTTTTTATGACTTTTTATGCCTTGATTTACTTTGACTTTTTAAATATCTTTCATGCCTTTTTGTACACTGACTTTTTTGTGACTTTTTATGCCTTACTATCCTACAACGTTATTTGGCTTACTATGCTTTGACTTTTTTATGACTTTTTATGCTTTACTATACTATGACTTTTTTTTTTTTACTTTTTATGGTTTACTATATTATGATGTTTTTATGACTTTTTATGCTTTACTATACTATGACTTTTTTTTTTTTACTTTTTATGGTTTACTATATTATGATGTTTTTATGACTTTTTATGCTTTACTATACTATGACTTTTTTTTTTTTACTTTTTATGGTTTACTATATTATGATGTTTTTATGACTTTTTATGCTTTACTATACTATGACTTTTTTTTTTTTACTTTTTATGGTTTACTATATTATGATGTTTTTATGACTTTTTATGCTTTACTATACTATGACTTTTTTTTTTTTACTTTTTATGGTTTACTATATTATGATGTTTTTATGACTTTTTATGCTTTACTATACTATGACTTTTTTTTTTTTACTTTTTATGGTTTACTATATTATGATGTTTTTATGACTTTTTATGCTTTACTATACTATGACTTTTTTTTTTTTACTTTTTATGGTTTACTATATTATGATGTTTTTATGACTTTTTATGCTTTACTATACTATGACTTTTTTTTTTTTACTTTTTATGGTTTACTATATTATGATGTTTTTATGACTTTTTATGCTTTACTATACTATGACTTTTTTTTTTTTACTTTTTATGGTTTACTATATTATGATGTTTTTATGACTTTTTATGCTTTACTATACTATGACTTTTTTTTTTTTACTTTTTATGGTTTACTATATTATGATGTTTTTATGACTT